TGAAATATATAATTTTCATTTTTTTTAAAATTAACTTACACTCGTTACCCTAATCGGAAGTTAATGAAGAAATCACAGCTTATGCTCTCAACTTAGTGCTCTGGTGATTGTTCTGTAAAATATTTTAGATTTATTCAGTAAACTCGTGTGATATAGTTCAAATTTCCTGCTGTTGCTACGCCAGAAGTGTGTGTGATTGTTGTTTTTGTGGATACTGGTATGGCGCCATTTTTAGTCCTGAAAATTATATGCATGCAAAAATGCAAGTACAACTGACCATTATGCCACATATATCCTATACTTTAGCATGAGAAGAGAGATTACTGAGGATAAATTGGGTAAAACAGTAGTTCAGGGGTAGAGAACTGTAGCGGTGAGAGATTTTAGAATAAACATTATTAATTTTATATAATTTTAGGAATATTATATAAAATAAAGAAAAAAATATTTGACTGTTTGTTTGTAATGAAGCAGAAAGCTACACGATGGGCTATCTGTGCTCTGCCCACCATAGGTATCAAGACCTGATTGTTATTACGCATGAATATATATATATATACAGTATATGTAGCATATGTTTTCCACATTCTTTGGTCTCATGCATTTTAATTTCATTTTATAAAGAAACACAATAGACTACACGTGCTGTTCCCACCACAGGTATCGAAACCCGGATTCTAGCGTTGTAAGTCCGCAGACATACCGCTGTACCACTGGGGGGGCATATTTGACTGAGAAAGTATTGTTATTTTTTATTTTAAAATATGTCAGTTAATATATTGTGAGTTTTCTATTTTTAGAAGATGTGAGCAATTTATAGATTTAGTCAGTAGCTCGCGTATCTCCGTTTCACTTTTTGAATAAAAATAATTTTCATGTCAAATTAGATTAAATTAAGATGATGTATTATTCTAACTAAATGAGCCAAATTAATTTTCAAGATATTAAAAACTTTCCAATTTAGAAAACTGTTGTATAAGTTGATATACTAATTAACTTAAAATTTAAAATTAAAACGTTAGCATAATTTTAGCTTTTTGAATCCTCACTTCATCTATTCGTCCACATATTATAATTTAAGACCAACTTACAACTTCGATAAACACGATTTATTGCTAAAAGATGATATAAAATTGTACTTCAAAGGCACAGTGGTAGGTATGAGGGCGTAAAACGCTAAAAACTGGGTTTCGATACCTGTGGTGGGACATGTACTCCATTGTGTTGCTTTGTGCTTGACAAAAAACTAAAAACAAAAAATGAAATTAAAATGCATGAGACCAAAGAATGTGGAAAACATAATGGTATATATATATGTGTATGCGTAATGACTAATTGAAAATCGCTGCACGCACGTGTATGAAGCCAAAAAATAAATTTAATCATCCCCATAAAATACATTTTTTAAATTTCTAAGTCAATCTGAATCAGGATATCGCTACTTGCATTTTCAAAATATTTAAAAGTTATTCATTAAATATTTGTTAATGCTATTTTTTTTCACTCTCTTCGAATTATCCGGTTCTGTAAACACAAAAGAAGGTCACCAGTCAAAAACAAGTATAGAAAATTATATGTATATATAAATTTAGGAAAGAAAATAGTTATAAAATAACAAGTTGCAAAAACACGGATTTTTGTAACAAATTTTTTGAAACGGTTACGTTTTATAAATCGAAAAGAAAGCAAGGAGAATCATTTGAGGTATTTTCATAACGTTCAGAAAAAATACAGATCATTCTGCGGTATAAACGACATCACAAAGCAGTAACTCACTTTTTTTGTTGTTGTTCCCCAACAAACATGCTTCTTTATTCATTATAACATGAACGAATAACAACGCAGGATTTTGACTCAGTTTTAGACAAAGTAAAAAAAAATATATTCCTTTTATTAGATTAAAGAATAAATTAGATAAAACTGAACCGGAAATTACACATTCACTAAATTATCTATCTATTTATTTATTTGTGAATATTACTTTTATATTAATTAAACATTTCAGAACTAGAAATAAGAATACTTTTTCTATAAATCCAGCCACTGTTATAGGTATTGAAAGAGATAAGCAAACAAATTCCGACCCTGGTGTTAAACCTAGCTGCAAAGTTGGAGTCTTAAAATCACTTCCGATATAAAAGTGTCCCAAATTATATGCATAAAAAAATGACATTGAATTCAGAACAGTTACGAATTTTAATTTATTTGATTAAATTATTTTATTTAATTTAATGGTAGTTAATCTAAGAACTTTAGGTTGAGAAATGTGTGATAAGAAATTAAAGTGTAAAAGTATGATTAACCAACTTAACAAATTCCCTCGCTCGTGCTTATAAAAATCCCCTTTAGTCGTTTGCTTTATTTTCAGAGAAACTTGTTTTGAGCATTTACACATTCCATCGGAAATCCTATATTCATTCAATTTCTTAATATATGTTTAATTTTAGGTAATTAATAATGATGTTATATATTTTTAAAAACGCTAATTAGTATTGCTAACTTTACTTGTTAAATTAAGAAACATTTTAGGTTTCTGGATTTTTAGAAAAGTATTTACATATATTACGTGTCAAAGTACATTGATACTTTGGTTTTTATCAGAAATATATAGTAGATGACGCTAATGAAAAACATATCCCATAATGAAATTCAATAACGTCTATTTTGTAGTTTGTTGAATGCGTTGTTTGGAAAATACATTAATATTTGTAGTTGTTAAACCTCGCCAATATAATTCAGTAAAATAATAATAATATGGAATCTTGTGGAGTCAAAATGTCAACAAATAAGATCGTTGATATAATTAGCGTAATTATTGTAACTCCAGAACTGCCAGCTTATAGATTACTCTTATGAATCTTATTATAAAACTTCTTACCTATATTCGGTTCATCTCTACTGCTAAGTATTCACATATTCCTAGCTACCAAATATGAACGTTAGAGTCACAAAGCAGGTTTATAAATTAAGGAACTTGGACCAACGTTTTATTTTCCAAGAGAAGTATGCTGGCTTGAAAATCTTGCACGGGCATTTGAGAGTTTACCAGTGAAGCGGCGCTCAACTCGAGTTTCGGTCGATCTCAACCTTGGCCTTTACGTTAAACGTAAGAGGTAAATATGTATACGCGTATATGATACCAGAAAACATTTGTAGTTCTTCGAAAACAGATTCGCGAGAAATAGTTGTGAAATTCGGCGGAAGTATGAACCAATAAGTAAAGAAACATCGTTATAAACACGAGAAATGTTTAAGGCAACATTTATTGAATCTTCTGAGAAATCATAAACTTATCAATGGTATTGTGTGAAATATATTTTTACATTAAACATATTTTCAATGTTTTGAAAATTTAAATATTTTGGATATCGTATTTTTCAAGTACTGCCTACTTTCAGCCGACAGAATTTCGTTTTGTATCATCGACTTCACATGGCTGTATTTTGAAAACTCCCTTTTGTTCATCTGAATTTGTTTGTTTGTTTGTAGTTTAGCACAAACTACCCAATGGACTATCTGTTATAAGCCTTCAGATTTACCACTGTGCTACTGGGGGGCTTTTTCATCTGAAACACGTAGTAACAAAATGCAAATGATTTGAAAACTGTGTACTTATATTTCCAATAAAATTCAAATTATTTCTATTTGGGGGTGTTTATATTTACGGTTATACTCGCAATATAATGCAGAGTTAAATATAACTATTTCTGGGAGTATAACACGTATATATATATATATATACACACAACCGAACCAAAAAAAAATAACTAGCTAGCTCTATAAAGATCATAAAATGTAAAAAAGGCATGCTTCGAACGTAATGATCCTCGGTATTTACCGTATTTTCTCGAAGTCTTACATTTTAATAATGGGAGGCCGGTCAAAGTCAGCTATAAATCACCAGTCCACTTCCATTACCGCTATTCACAGTGTATGAAGTGACAATACAGTTCTACTCACGTAGTAAAACAAAAGTTTCTGTTTTGTCCAGGCACCCAGAATCAACAGAATGGATTAGTCGTACTATGATAAGAAGTGTGAGAAATGAGCAACATCAAATGGCCGCTATTGTTTTAGGATAGTTGTAAGTGATCCCCAATACCATCAGAAGTTTTCTTCATAGGATGGGGTACAATGGAAGAATAGCTAGACAGAAGCCACTTTTCATTAAAAGCAAATATCTTACGTCAACAGCAGCAAGATTCACAGATGATATATCACCTTCTTGCCTTATAATGTATTTTACGACATTTCCAGTTCTGCACAATTTGAGAACAGCAAACGCACCTGGATTTGCCAACATCCTCCCAAGAACGTACGTTGAATCCTCTGCATGCCATGGCACAATACGGTGGTATTTCTGTTACGATGTGGGATGCAATTTGAACAAGTGGACGAGCATTGACTGTGGAATGGAGGTAGTGTCACCGCTATTCGATACCTCACAATGCTTGAACATGGCTACCTATCTGTCTACACTACTAACCAGCTTACTAGATAAGGCAGTGTTTAAATGCAAGATGAATCTCCTGCCTATCCAGTACAAGCCATCATATCACCAATTAAAAAGATAGATATCTCTCACGTACACGTTCCTCACTGGCAGAATCAGACTCAAATAGCGAATCCATTCCACGTGTAAAGTAGAAAAACGATATAAACTGCACGTAAGAGAATGAGATCACACGCACAAAACGTAAATATTTGTCAATATTTTCTCGAATCATAAGAAAAACGAAACGAACCCAAATGAACCCCCCCCCCAATAGTTGTGATAATAAGAATATCCAATACATTTCGAGCGCCAGATCTCATTAAGGGAATTTCAAGGTGTAAATCAGGAATCCGAGCAAAGAAATTAAACGATTTCCAATAACTCAGCATTAATTCTGAAAGCTTATGGTACTAAAAATCAGGTTTCGATATCCGTGATGGGCAGATCACAAATAGCCTATTGTGCAGTTTTTGCTTAACAACAAACAAATAAGACTCCTCCATGGAAACATCCTAGTAAAACTTCTCAACACAACAGAATACTTTATATTAATGAACACCTGACCAGCAAACCCATTCAACAGCCTTGTTCAAAAAGTATACTTTCTTTGATCAGAAATGTACTAACAAGTATTTCCAATGCAAAAATAGAAGAATAATTCACCAGACGAGAAATCACACCCACTATATGTTCAAGAACTATGCTACAGAAAGACAACACTTCCAACTCTTTCATTAAAATAGACTTAGAGTCCCAGACCAAAACTAACAACTTCCTTTCACATGGAATATACCTATGATACTGACATTACAAAAACAATTTTATAGCTTCTAAATTTACAGACACTATGCTGGTTCATGCCATGCCTAAATCCTCTTCTTGCGATATGTCGAAACCACAGCCTAAAGGAATCACCAAATCTAAAGAGCAAGCCAAATGCATTAACTGCAACCTATTGCATCCCGTATAGGTTGCAGCAAATACATCAACATCAAAAAATATCACAAAAGCTCAAAACTTTACTCCCACTCCCACAGTCAGAAAAGCATAACATCACAAACATAACAAAACACTCTCACAGCTTTAGTAACTCATAAATTAGTAAACGAACCACAAACAACATTAACAACACCGCAAAACCGTCAAATATGTGGCACGACTCCTGAAGGAAAATGAGATACTCACAAAAGGAAAATTTAGTAAAACGTCTAATTGACATAATTTTTGCCTTATTCAGTAAAAAATCACCTCGCCACCAAACGCATGATACTCACAATTGTTAATGTCTAACAGGTTACACGAATCATTGTATATAAAGACTTTCATAAAGAATATGAAACAAGACAATTGGATCACTTAATATACAACTGTGATATTTAAGAGGGGGATGTCACACTAAAAAATGGTAAATAGACACAGGAGACATTGCACCAGAAAAAGGATATCGACCTTAGTCGACACAAACGTCTCATCACACATACCAGGATATACAACAGTTTTAATGCCAAAAAATAACGACTCACGAGGAGGTAATCTTTTATGAAACAGATATATAAGAAAACTCACACAGTTTAAAAGCTTCCCCGCAACTAAGAAGCTATAGTCATATATTTCATCATCAATTGAAACAGCAATATAACCATTATAACTATTTACTGTAGCCCGACGCATACCATAGACACAGACTTAACCCTAGACCTTTTAAACTACAACAATAAACTAATAATAATAGGCGACCTAAAGTTCAAACATCATACCTTCGTGTGCAAGATACAAAACACTAATGGAAACAACCTGCTAAACACATTATTAAATAATAATCTGATAATACTTAATAACCAGACCCAGAATCACCTAAAAAAAAGACAGGCAAAGATTTTGCTCTAACAGCACAACAAATGGTCTCAACGTTTTTGGATTTTGATGTAGGCCAAGATCTGGGAAGTGAACATTGCCACTACATGTCACATTTACATTAATCCGCTCACGTAACAAAACAAACAAGATAAAACTTTACAACTGTAAACTTGGAAGTGCACAGAAAAAAATTTAGATTTTAAACTACCAGCTGAGCCCATAGTACAAGCGGAAACAGCTAATGATATAGATAACTTTTCATATGTCATCACTAAAAGCATTTCGGAAACTACAGAATTCATTATACCAAAAATCATACTAAATATAAATAGATGTAAACTTCCTAAGGGAATCATGAACAAAATCAAAGAACAAAGAAACATACGCTTAACAACCAAACAACTACAACAGAACAAGAGAAAAACAATAGTCTTGACTACATGACAACACATTCGATAACAGCCTTAAATAATCGGTAGAAAAATTCATATTAAAAAATAAAAACACACTCAAGAACAAATTTCCAATGGCCACTCATGTTCTGCAAACACCTGCACATACAACACTGGAACAAGATTACACAACTATCTTTGATATAAATAAGCAACTTAAAAACAAATCAACCGCAAAAATAACATCCCCAGAGTTTGGATTCAACAAAGACCTAACCTCCTATTTAAACGTATAGCAAAAATCTTTACACTATAATCTTGCTTTCTGAACACATCTTAGCAACATAGAAAACAGCTATGGTGGTCAAGATACTCAAACCTAACAACTCAACACAAGTGAAGGCGAAGGTTTGTTTGTTGGTTGTTAAGCACAAAGCTACCTGTGCTCTGCCCACCACGAGTATCGAAACCCGGTTTCTAGCAGTGTAAGTCCGCAGACATACGGCTGTGCCATTGGATAGCCTTTAGCCATGGAAAACAAACAACTGACGACTTCATCTACTCACTAAAAAAAAATGGTAAAAATATTAATATTAATTGCTCCACTGTGGTTGTTTTCCTTGATGTGAAAAAAGCCCTTGACCCGGTCTGGCACAACTGCCATTTGTTCAATAGTGGAAAATGCTGTTATATATTCAAAGCATGTTTAGTAATAAAATTTAGTACTTTTTTGTGTTCTGATTGGATTCAGTAAACATGAAAATATGAGCTAATGGTGATTTTCTTTGTTCTTCAAGGACTAGTTGATTGTTTCTTAAATTTCAAATAAAGCTACTTGAAACCTATATGTACTAGCTGACCCTAAATTGATGGACAACAGCATAGCTATTGCAAATCTAAAAATCACACAAACTTGAGGTGTCCACAAGAGAAAGCTTATTCTTCCTTACCCATATGTATCATTAGTCGAAAGACTTTCGAGTATAGTAAAAGGAGAATTATATTGGCAATTTTGATGACTGTATCAGTTTTTGTATTCGAGTATAGTAAAAGGAGAATTATATTGGCAATTTTGATGACTGTATCAGTTTTTGTATTTCCAAACATGCAAAAATTTTGAAAAAAAAAGAAATAATAAATAACAGTACTACAAAACATGTTGCATTATTAAATTAAAATTACCATG